TTTTCTGATTTACGAATATGCATGTTTTTATACAAACAAGAGAAAAGTCTGGTCATGGGATATGCAAATTAGCCTGTGGCAGTGATGTTATGCTGAGTCATCACTGTGCAGGAGTGTGTCAACTTGCCACTTTCATCACAAAACCAAAATGCTGGCAATTAATTGTCAAAAATGATTTCAATGAGTCAATAACAAATATGGACAGCGGAAGTTGTACGGATGTAGAATGAGGCCAAATAGGCATGCTATTTCACACACGTTTTCACCAATGTCACTGAAAACAGTTTTTAATGAATGAGATTGGGACAAAATTTAATCCAAGAAAGATTGTTTTATTATGTGTTTTCTGACATCATACGTTTTCGGATGTCAGTGTTTACTCGCACTATAAAGCAGTGTGTTGCAACACAGCAAACATTGTAAGTACCTGGGTGATGGCATGTCTTTAAGACAAAGTTGCCTCTTGTAAGTAAGTATGGTGTTCCCAACAACCTATGCTGGACACACCAGCTCATTTAAAGGATAATGATGGTTTGCAACAATGTTCATGGTATCAATCCTTAGATTTCTGCCCTAACATGACGAGAAAATAGCTCAAAGTGGTGGTAATGAACAAACTAACAAACTCCAGACCTTTGAAACCTCAGTCCCCATACCTTTCCCAACAAGCACCCCTCTCACAGGTCACACATAACCCTTCATTATCAGGTCAGGTTAGGTTACCATAAATATAAGAGAAGAACAATTGCCCAAGTCTAATGTTTCCTGAAAGTCTCTCCCAATACATACATATATCTATTGTTGAAAGATTACTCTCATTTCAACTGCATCACTACAAAGTCTAAAAGGCACTTGATACAAGTAACTGCCACATGACCCTGATTAAGCTAAATATAGGGTGGTACAAAAGAATCAATATCATGACATTCGTGCTACACGCTAAACGATAACTATATTCATTACAAAATAACATAATTCATAGTAACTGATTCAGTTTGCATTATACAGGTTTTGACCAAAAAAACAATTCACAATCACTTTCATATATGGTCTAACTAGGGTTGCCAATTATTATACACCACTGAGATCAATAATCCATAACAAATAAAATCAATTGATTATTGATAAATATCAGGGAAGTAAATTTGATCCAAATCAAAACTAAGGTCAGAAAGACATCAACATATTTCCCATCATCAGTGACTGGTAACATACTTATGTGGGTGAGGTAGGGTAGCCTAGTGGTTAAAGCTTTCACTCGGTACGCCCAAGGCCCGGTTTGATTCCCCAGATGGGTACAATGAGTGAAGACCATTTCTGGTGTCCCCTGCCATGATATTGCTGGATTATTGCTAAAAGCAACATAAAACTAAACTCACTCACTTTTTTATGCACATATTACCAACAAACCATCTATCTGAACATAGTTTAGAAATGACCCATGAATAGAGAATTAACTTTGCACATTGTGTGTGCAAATTGAAACTTTATTTCATCAGAATAGTTTATGCAAGATATGATCAATGAAACAATTTTCATGTCAATAATCGATAATAATTCTTCCTATTGAAGATAGTTGTGATTATTAATCTTTTTAGCCATCTCTATATCTGACATCTGATCATTTCATTATTTTAAATTCTCATCAATATCCAATGTCATGCATGGACACAAACACAAATACATTGCATACATAACCATAAGACATACATAAGCACCAGAATGAGGTCACATATTGAGCAATACTGTCTGTTGTGACAAACTCATCGCAAGCATAGAGTAAAAGCATGAGACATGATCCCTTGTAACACGATCAAGTATAGTCTTGGCACCAGATAGGAAGGCATGTCAGTTTTTAATGTTTTAGCTCCTGTCACCAACGGTTATATTGAGTAGAGTTGGGAATTGGTTAGAATCTCACAATTGATGATTGGTTAATTACAAACGATCAATCATCGAAAATAATTGGTTAGCGTCATTTATCAAATTCTCCTGGTTATGTTTGTTAATGCACCAAAAATATAGAAAAAAACATGTAGGTCTTTTGGGATTTTTTTGCAAATTGAACAAAATGCATTTACAAATGTCACATCTTTAAAGGATGACTAGTATGTTAGGAACATAAATTTCCTGGAGTCTTTAAGATAAATTCAATCATGACAAGGAACAAGCTTGTAGTGCTTATGAAATGTAACACACAAAACCAACCTTGTGAAAAATGTTACTGCAAACAAGTGTTCCAAAATTGTTTGTGTTTGATTATGAGAAAACGTGATCGATTGCTTGGTCGTTTAGTCACTGCGACCAACCTTCAATCATTTCAACTAATCGGACCACCGCTAAAAATTGAGCTATAATATTCTGAAGAATGAGACACCTGATGAAGCGTGCCATATATGCTTGCATCCCAGTGGGACTTCTTTGTATAGTGACACTGTTTTAACTACAAAACTACAAGAAGAACTTGTAACTCCACAGCCTCAGTAAATAATGGCTCCGGCTGTAAAACCATGTATTTCTGGTACTCGTTCCAACATTTAACTTACCACCTAAAAATATTTATCTATTTTGTGACATCACCAAAACATATCTTATTCATCAAAACTAATCTTGCTAATGCATGTTAACCTCAAAAGAATTCATCCCTCTACAAAATCCAGTCTGTTTAAATTGATAAGCAAGATTTCTGATTCTTTTTCACAGATGTGCACTATTATATAATCTAAATGTTTTAATCTTACTGTCCACACAGAAGGAGATAGTTGCATTCTACTGAACGTAGCATACATTGCAACAATGATGTTAACTACTACATCAAATATAGTATTATACCCTTTTACTGATGAGGCAAATCAGCTGCATGTACAGAAATCATCCACCGCATGGAAAGTCTGTCACAAACGTTTACTAGTATACTACATAAAATATGTAAGTATTTAACCACATAGGTATTTTGTAGTAAAGTGTGAGTGTTGTGCTAAACAGGGAACACAAAACATACCAGCACTTATAAAGACATTACCTTAAACACATGTTAGTTTCTGAAGAGCCTTAACATGCTGAAATTTCATCAACCATGTACATTTCATTTGAATCTGCCTTTTGGAACTCCTCACCTTGAGGTCCATCACAGTTACCAAAATTCAATGTGCAGACTTAGGCAAGAAGCCTACAAATATAATGGTCACTTTCACCCAATCAGAATATACTCATGATATCTATAGTCATGTGGTAAAGTTCAGTTCCAGCATCACTCAAGATACCTGTATAGAGTATATAAAACTGTCTTGTAATTTGTTAAGTAAATAGTCTGGAGATATTCTGGAGATTAATATTAATATCAACACCTTAACAAAAGCTATTGCACTAATTTCATAACCTTGCTTGTGTTTTCTTACAACTGTCTTAATACTTTTTCTGACTTGGGCCAGACAATCTCCTGAGTATTTAAAACAAAGACTAAAAAAAGCAACATTGTCAAATGTGGACTGATCCTTCGCCATACCTTGCTTCTACACACTTTAAGTTCTTTCATGTGTCTAGATTTAACATCATATACCATAGTCTAGGGAAGACAATATTAATGATCTTCACATGTCAGAGTTGTTGCCAAACTCGACCATGCAATATGAACCTCAGAAATGTGTTTCAGCACTGTGTAACACAATACAATTATCATGACTACAAATGTGCCCTGTGGTCACATCATGTACCACTTCTACTATATCCATAGTGACAGGTATAACATAACACTTCCTTGTTGAGTGGGAATATAATGAAAAATGTTATCAGTCAGTAAATGCCACTAAGGTTGACAGCATGATCTGTAGTCTCTTCTACCATGTCTACTTCATCAAATGTACTTTGTCAGTTTATGGTCAATCGCCCACTGTACCAGCACACAAGATGGACAAAGAGTATAAAGCATGATAATGTACAAGACATTACACAATTTAATCAACAGGAAAAATACAGATATAAACATACTGTAGTTACATACATTTGTGTCTACAAATTCAAAAACTATGTACACCCTTTATTACCCAAAGTATCAGATAATCATTTGTCAAACAAAAAAAGCTGTGGTCCTTGTGATATGTTTGTGCACTATTCAAATCAAATCCTCTACAACCAGACTTTCAACTTTCAACGGGGATTCTGTGACGATAAAACAGTCATCTTCTCAGTCGTTTCTTGTGGGGAAAATGTATATTACACTACAACAAATAAAAGATTCTGTGTTGTTTTAAATAATTTGGGGAGTTTCTTTTTATTTTGTTCTAAAGGTTGGATAGAGGGTGCTTGAAGGCACAGGGTAACAACATTCTGTCGTCAGTTAAAGTAAATGTGATGCAAAATGGACCAGTGCTGTCAAAACAGACTAATGAAATATAACAAAGACAATACCTTAAGAACATTAAGACAGTTATTACCAAACTGCATAATCTAACATGTAATGTATTGCAATACAGGGCTTGTAGACTCATGTACAGTATACTGGACCATGTATCAGGATACAAGTAGCAAGTAGAAATCATGTCAGACATATTTAGAAAATGTTGTTAGATTAATATATTTTGACAACAGGGTTATTACTCCATATAAACAGTAAATAGTGCCCCTGAATATCAACATTAAGTCAATTTACAGTCCTTTTGTTTAACAAAGAAGAAACATGATAAATTCAAACAACCAGTCATTATATATACAGGTTGTTTGAATGCTTATTTGAATTTATACAACAAGTCATTCTTTAAAAGAAGTAACTAATGGAATCAGATGGTCTGTCTTGGTAAAGATCATCATATCCCATCTGCTTAGATTGATGTTGTCAATCAATGGATTGTCTGATCCAGACTCATTTATTTACAGACCTTCATAAAGCTGTAGTACTGACGTTAAACAAACATTCTATGTACAGTTCAAATCAGCTGCATTAGACTTGTTCAGACTGATTATTACACATGTTTGGTGAAAGATTACTTGTGGTGGCTACTTACTTTGTATACATCGGAGAAAAATCCAAATCCCAGTTTTTCAGACACAAAGTCATCAAGTCGAGTCAATGCAGAAACTGCATGTTTCAGGGCTTGACATGTAGACTGAGGGCTTCTCTTTTCTGGGGAATTTTCTCTTGATTTTTCAACAGTTTGTTCGAATGCCTTTGGCTCGAAATTGAGAGAATTTCTGTGTGCGGCACTTACAACACAGGTCCGACTCCGACGTAAAACTTGCCTCTTGGTACTCGGTGGTCTCTTACTCTCACTTGCCATATCCAAACTCAACAGCACAAACTCAAGTAATGACGTCCATTGTAAAGTTTCTATCAAAGAGTAACATTTCGGTAGGATCTGTGATGATTATGGCTTACTGCCAACCAGTTCTAGCCCTGAATCCATTGGCCTCGTTGGTGTAGGCGTGAGAATGCCTCCAACCGAAGCCTTTTTGAGGAAGGTAACGTCTTAGCTCTGTGACTACATAGTGACGCCCACTCAACTTTTAAAAATATGATGTTTCAGAAGTATGTGTCCACCTCTTCAAACAGTAAACAAACAAAACATAAAACTTAGCCTGTCATTTTCAAGAAACATGACAGGTGCCCTTCTCCGTCCTCGGTAAGACTGCAATGAATATCAACAAATCGGACGCAGTGCAACATGGGATATTTTGACAGAATGCTACTATCCTTAGGAGGGATTATAAGCAAAACCGGCACGTCAGCGAAACGTCATTGAGAGAAAACGGCAATGAAAGTGGACAATTTATAGATATAGTCTCATTGTCCCTGGGCCTAGATTTTCGAAGCTCTCTGAGCGCTAAGATAGTCGTAAGTTAACGTTCATGTATGGCACTTACGACTATTTTAGCGTTAAGAGAGCTTCGAAAATCTAGGCCCTGGACAATTAATAGATCTAGTCTCATTGCACTGCCACTTGTTACAGTACAGGACCCCGTGAAGATCCGGGTCTTCAGTAACCCATGCTTGTCGTAAGAGGCGACTAACGGGATCAAGTGGTCAGGCTCGCTGACTTGGTTGACACAATCATGACATCGTATCCCACATTGTGTAGATCGATGCTCATGCTGTTGATCACAGAGTTGACCGGTCCAGACTTGATTACTTGCAGACCGCCGCCACATAGCTGGAATATTCTTGAGTGCAGCGTTAACCAACTAACTAGACCCTAACTACAATGTTACAATTGTTGTGGAAGCCGCGGTGGCTGAGCGGTCTAGGCGTCTGACTTTGTGTGCTGGCGATTAGGTGCCTGACTCTGAGGGTGTGGGTTCGAATCCCGGATGGGACTCAACTCAACAAAAGTACTAGAATCTACTTTACAAAGAAAGTGTAATCCCAAATATAACATACGTTACATTTCACCACTTTCTAAATGGCATTGTGTATTCCATACAATGTTACAGTAGAGTGAGTGAGCTTAGTTTTACGCCGCACTCAGCAATATTCAAGCTTATATGGCGTCGGTCTGTAAATAATCCAATCTGGACCAGATAATCCAGTGATCAACAGCATGAGCATCGGTTACAGTAGAGACCTATGGGTTGTGGTCAAAAGGGCCGAAAAAAGAAAGTCAACTGGGCCGAGGCCATAGGTCAATTGGACCGAAATCAAAAGTCAAAAAGGCCGAAAATTATATAAATTACATAATAAAATAGTGTACATAGTGTTTAGTTTGTTGTTGTTGTTATTTTTAATGGAATTTGAACATGTAATAATAATAATAATATAGATCATTTGTAATGCGCTTGACTCCACAACACTTGGCCATGCTCTAAGGGCAAACACAAGACAGTGACTCAAATGATTTCGTTGTTAAGTGTCTTGACTCAGTGTCGTGACTAATCTGTATAGTGTGCAGTGCTCCAAGACTGTAAGAAGGAACCAGTACGCCTTAGAGTGTTTTATCAATGTCAGTCATGGACACACACGGTTTGTGGCACAGGGATGACTCGTGAAAACTACTTTGACTTATAAATGTAGGGCAACTGTTGCCGAGATCAAGTCCACAGGAGACAGAGTGCCAGGCAAACTTGTCTCAGTCCAAGTAAGAACTCAGGTGAGTTTACGTCCTACTGATTGATTCCTAATTAGTAGTGAATTGAACCATAACTGTCGACGAACTGTTAATTGAACTTCCTTAATTGTTATAATTGGAGTTAACGATTGGAATTGATTCTTAATCAGATCAATTAACCTTGTTGTATTACGTGAAGAAGGCTGTAACACAAGACCTGTTCAAGTCTGCCAGGTCCATAGCTGAGGATGTTATTGATATTGTTATGATATTATGTTTTAATGCTTTATACGTCAATGAAAAATGAAAAACATTTGTAAACTATTTCTTGTTCGGTCCATATGACTAAGAATAAGGCCCTTTTGACATTTTTTTCATGGCCCATTTGACTTTCACCACGGCCCATTTGACTTTCACCACAGCCCATTTGACTTGGCACTTCTTGGCCCTTTTGTCCTTCGGCCCATTTGACAAGATCCCGAGACCTGTACAAAAATATTGGTCTTCAGTAACCCATGCTTGTAAGAGGCGACTAACGGCATCGGGTGGTCAGACTCGCTGACTTGGTTGACACATATTCTGAAATATGGTGGAAAAATGGGGGCAAAAGTAGATCTATTAATGCTTATAAATATAGCACAAAAAACACTGCATAGATCGGTATTACCTATATTAAATATGTAAGAGTCGTTTTCGCCTGACATCCCGTAGCCGTTTCCGCCATATATGAAATCGGTGCCGTTTTGTCATGACACTTTCGACTGTCTGTCTGACAAGAAATGTAATGTTGCCGCGTCAAGGCATTAGTACACTCATGATGTTAAAAATATCCGAAACACAGTAAAAAACTACAGTTTCTTCTTCTTTGTTTACAGCAGTTTGAGACCCCTTGACCTTCATTGTAAATCGGCGGGAGATGGTGGTTGGCATGGTTAAAACTATACATACAGTAATGGCAGCATCTTTACTACCTTTTAGATACACTTAAATACAAAATACCTTAATATGCATACAAATCCTCATCAGGCAATACAGGAAGTACAAGGGTTGTACTGTTGCATCGACACTACTGAAACCCAGATCTGTGAAAATGTAAATCTTACACTGCAACCCAAATACTGCAAGAAATATATTTGAATGTGTTCCAGCGTCGCATATACATAATGAACCTTGAAATCTAAAACGTGAAATATAAGGTGAATAGTTAGCAATGAAAACGGCTCCTTCTGTCGCCAAGTTTCATCTGTGGCACTGGACAGCTTTTGAGTTGAAGTGGGGCGGTGGGGTAGCCCATGTGCAGTGGTTAAAGCGTTCGCTAGTCACGCCGAAGACCCGGGTTCCATTCCTTACATGGGTACAATGTGTGAAGCCCATTTCTGGTGTCCCCCGCCGTGATATATTGCTGGAATATTGCTAAAAGCGGCGTAAAACCATACTCACTCACTCACTATGTGTTGAAGTGACATTAACTCTATTTTATGTTTAACTGTATGTCCAATGTATTGCTATGGAAATGCAATCAATATAAACTGTTTTAATTCGTCCTGTAGCAAAGGGTATTAGTTTGGCTCTTGGTTAATGTCATAATACTAAAATGATAAAACAAAAGCTTATCGAAATGTGCTCCAGAAATATCCCCAACTTTCGCTAAGTCGTACTTGCTGTCTTGGAAATGTATAACATAAACTTCACAAACTCATGAATACCAAAATGCACTTCAACGCTTAACTGATATAATAATGTATAAGGCACGTTTGATACAGAGGTGAGAAAACTACACCTTTTGACGGCTCATTCCCACTTACCCAACTTACTGGGGACATTAAAGGAGATTAACAGTTACGGGTCAGTGATTGTGCAGGGTGAATTTGTTACCCCTGCTTTGGTTGTGACATAAGTTGACCCAGCACTCCAATCAGGGCCAAGCAGAGCAATCTCATGACCACCGGTGCACATATTTCCCAAGATAAACTGATAATCATAACACTTGCTAACAATTATATTTGAGCTGAGTGTTGTACATACCAACTTGTAGTATAGACATACCACTTAAACTCCTTGATCTCTGTACATCTCAATCTTTAATTCAACTAGAAAGTCTTTTTACTCGTAAAAACAAATGAGACGTCTCCCCATTTCCCCCATTAAGGGGCGGTGGGGTAGTCTAGTGGTTAAAGCGTTGGCTCGTCACGCCGAAGACCCGGGTTCGAATCCCCACATGGGTACAATGAGTGAAGCCCATTTCTGGTGTCCCCCGCCGTGATATTGCTGGAATATTGCTAAAAGCGGCGTAAAACCAAACTCAGTCAGTCAGTCCCCCATTCAACGATGAGACCTCAAACAATTCATTTGATTCATTCAATTTCAAAATCTCTAAGTATGAAAATATATATTATTGATAGTATGTTGTTATGTTTGTAAAGTTTTCATTTAATATTTTTATGTTCAATTGATCTTAATTTATTACCGATATAAAACAATTTTGCAAAATACACAGAGAAAGTTCATGGTGTTTTATAGCAATACATGTATATGGTTGATGCTTCTAAGCTTACTAATAATCGGTATTAAGTTTACAAAATTTGGTGAAGATAGGTGGAGTGGTTTTAGAGTTATGCTCAAACGACCAAGTTCAAATTGTTGCCATGAAAACAGAAAAAAATGAAATTGAAAAAGACTCAAACCCCCCAAAAGGCACATCTACATGATATGGAGAGGCAGTATAGCAAATTTGGTGAAGATTGTTCAAGTAGTGTTAGATTTATGGGAATGCCGACGCCAACGCAAACTCAACCCAAAACAATATGTCTCCCGACCCTTCGCGGGGAGACATAATCAGACTGGCCTCCTGTACGCACTATGTATTTTGGTTGTAAAATCATATTCTGTCATTCACCTAATGAAGGGGCAAAAAGTAGCCCAGAAACGTCGTGTATACAATAAAGAAAAAGTTGACATCCAGGCCTGTGGCCTTTCATGCAGTACCGGAAATAAAGAAACAAGAGAGTCAATATTTTGGCTTATACTTGAATACCAACTTCTATATGCCTCATTTCCTGTCACGTTATACTTACTGTGTCATTTTGGATAATCAGTGGTTAACTCTTAGACATTCATGGTCTCACAGATGTAGTTAGCACGCCAGCGACGACAGCAGTGTTGCCGTATGTGATAGCAGATGGGCGATGAAGTTAAAAGACACCCTTTGCAAATCAAATCAAATTCTATTTCCCTTTAACAAGTTTGCAATATGAAGGAGGGTTCGTTCCTTCAAAAACAGAAGTAAGTATTCTTACTTTTTACATTCATAACTCAACCCATATCGAAATGAAACGTGCTTTAGAAAATTGGCCCAATAATGACCTGGAATAACCACAATTGTCAAAACAGTTAACGGTAAACAAAGTAATTGAACCAAATAATGTTTTTAAAAGACATACATTTCCAAACGAATAATATTTTGTAGGGTTAAATAAAACAAGGTACGGATCATCTAGTTCCCACCCTTCCATCACTTGAAATCAGTTGTCAAGAAACCATCAGATGACAATAAATTCGTCTGCATTCAATGTTTAAGTTAGGTATTGAAACCTTGATCTGCTCCGAACAGATACTTCTTTGTACATGATGTGATAGACACCGATTCAGACTTATCGCTTTCATAAAGTAAACGATTCGTAAGGCGTTGACAAAACACTAGTTTCTTAGGAAACTCTCCTGGACGGGTTATTTTAGTGAACAATTTACTTCCGGAAACGACCGCACGCATGCCGGGAACTGCCGCACGTTCAAAATGGCAGCCACCTTGGGAGAAAGCAATGCGTCCCAGGATAATGGTGGCACTGCTGAGATGTGCAATACAAATATTCCACAGACAGACGACATTCTAACTGACACAACGGCCAATGAGCCAGATGCAGCTGCACATAATGATAACTTGCAAGGTCAGGGTTTCAAATCTGCTCAAGCGGAATTCAACAAGGAAAGAAAGGTCTTGATTAAGAATGTGCCCACTGGGACGTGTACACAGGTTTGTAATAATGTAAATGTCAGATGTCAGACTACGTAGTATTTATTTATTTGGTGAAATATTATTTTGTTTGTGAACTTACGAGTTATGTAATACAACAGCTGCTGAAGGGGTCATTGTCGGCACAGGTACAAATGCGTACCCCAAATACGTTTCTTTATACAAATATGTACCCTAGCCAAATTCAGAACACAGAAACGTACCCTTGGATGAGGCTATGCCGCATTATGAATCGTTTAATCGGAACTATCATAGTGATATATTTGATGCATTTGATTGTGTTATGTAAGAAATAAGCATACACGGTAACAAATATTTCTCGATGCACAATACCACTCGTAATCAGTTGAATGGGAACATCTACTTACGGTTTCTGTTTTGGGTTGCAGAATAGGGGCTTGTCCCCTGTTTAGTGTGATGATGCTTCTTCCTTTGTCACTGTTAAAATCTGGGTAGTGGAGTTCAAGAGGGAAAGAGAGTGAGTGAGTTTAGTTTTACACCACACTCCACAATATTCCAGCTATATGGCAGCGGTTTGTAAATAATCGAGTCTGGACCAGACAACCCAGTGATCAACAGCATGAGCATCAATCTACACAATTGGGATACAATGACATGTATCAACCAAGTCAGTGAGCCTGACCACCCGATCCCATTAGTTACCTCTTACGACAAGCATGGGTTACTGAAGATCAATTTTAATCCGGATCTTCACCGGTCCGAGGGAAAGAGAGAGCCTAGAAGATGATTTAAGATCAGGAAGACCTTAAACTGCCACCACTAAGCAAAACCTGAAACAAATATGAGTAGCCATATACTCACCCCACGTTGCATATCCAGCCATGCAAACTAACCAGTGCTAACAGAAAATCGCTAACTTCTCCCATTCCCTCTTTACTATACCAGTTACTCGATCATGGTGATAGTTGAAATGAAACAGAGAATTAGATAAAAAAACAAATCATTTATCAGGGGAAGAGTATTTGACTTCACAGCAGTCATCACTTGTTTGTAAACAGAATGGGCTGTTGCATGCATGTTTGTTGCTACCTATCATATTTGGGACAATGATTGTAAAGAGAGCATGAATGAAATTACACATGAATGTAAGACTGTTACAGATGAATCATTACATCACTTATAAATTTGCCTTTTGTAAACATTTTACCAGTTGAAGAAGTCTATCCAGTGAAGGACACTTGGCAGATGACTGAGCCATGGAAAACAGTGGAATAATAACATTAAAATGAACAGATAATAAAACTTATTATGTGAATGAAATATGAAGATCATGACAATCCCCCCAAGCTGCAGGCAAAAGTGAAATACTTTCAGGGCAAATGACCATTCCATGGGGAATGTGTGCAGGGAATTCATACTGAACAGAAATAGGGGGTCATTGTTCAATAAACATGAATATGTAACTAAGTGAAATTTTACTTGAAGCTCAGCCACAAATGTTTCACATGAGTAATTTGTGTTTATCATGGTTTATGTGATACTGATACTGTATGCAGTCTATCATGTGTATGTTTATTGTCTTTGCAGGATATAGAAGAGTTTTTGAAAGATTTTGAAGTTAAAGAAACTACTTACTGTTGCCAGTCTCAACAGGGTAAGAAATATTTGATTTAGTCCCAAGGTATTCTAATATAATTGCACTATCCCAGTTAGTTAAAACTTTATTGAACAGTATGGTAATTAAGCAAATGAAGTCATCTATAGTCCGTTTGGGTTCATATGAAAACGATGAATGATAAAATATCTTGAAATAGGTATAAGTGCACAAAACACAAATAAGACACATGGTCCTGAAACCTCTGTACCCAACAGGATCTGAAATCTGACGTTTTATGATCGATCACGGAAAAGTTGAAGATGAAAAAGATGAGGTCTAATTTGCATACTGGGGTTACCAGTGGAACTGTCAAAGAAGCTCTGTCATTAACATGATTAATGTTTTCTATCGCGTTAAGAAATGAGTAACCCATGTTGAATATATACTCAAAAGTTTTTGTGACATGGAATCTTTTGATTGGTAATCTTGGGTAATTAGGTTTTGGATTTGAATCAAAGAAAAAGTGTGTTAAAATGGTTGAAGAAGTGCAACAAAGCATTTGCGAGACATTTGCAAATGTTAACGTGTTATTCCGGCCTGCAAAAATCCTGAATTATCACCCACTGAATACATCAGGGATGAAATGCAGCAATGTTTCAACATCATTCAAATGATCATAAAACACTGCAAGAACTTCGCTATATCTTTCTTCGCATATGGAGTGATCTTCCCCAGGAGTTGCATCAATATTTAATGGCCTCAGGGAGGTGATGTTGCCAGGCATCCATCAATGCACAAGGTGGACAGACCTGCTACTGACCATATGAACTTGCTGTAAATACATGCGATATAGTCGTGGGATTAAATAATTGATGTCTTTGCTTTTGCTTGAGTTGTTAGTTAAGTAGTAATAGGCTCTGTCAGAACCATATTATTTGCCTTGACAGAGCAATTTCACGAAATGTTTGTCAGCAGTTAGGTTTACAATGGTGTAACCTGGTTTGCCGCCAGAGCCTGCACTGAAATGAAAGAAATCATGTGTAATTGATAGTGACACATTTACTTACATCAAGACAAATAGTTAATCTGTTTACCAACAGTGTTATTTCCAGGAGCACATCTCATGTACATCAGTCAGTGACTCCCCATATTGTACATGCTGACAAATTGCATGTTTACATTGTACCAATGGTCCTAGTATTAAAGCAGGGAATACTGCATTCTTCAAAGGATCATTGTATGTGTCAAACCAAAGGTCTGACAGAGATAATATGACAGTCTTTGAATGTGAAACAAGGACTAGACAGCATTGATCAGAATTAGTTTCATTGCCATGAATGAAGAAAGGAAAGTGATATATTTCTTGTTCAGGTGGCGTTTTAATTACCGGTATTCAGATATATCCTTTTGACTGAGAAACCAGATGTAACTGTTTTGCACATGTGTGTCCTCTTTATTTGTTCCCCTCGCCAATCTTTGGGTGAGACAATGCTGTTGACCATCTCACTGATTCATTTGTTCTCCTCTGATAATGCTGTTGTATATGAGGCTAAGATAATGCTGTTGTATATGAGGCTAAGATAATGCTGTTGACCATGTCACTAATTCAATTCTTCATTTCTCCATTGTATACTTGAGATAATGCTGTTGTCTATATGTGGTTGAGATAAAACTCGTTCAATTCACTCATGCCATTTTCCCGTCATGGTAAATACTTGAGATAGTGCTGTTGTATCATCCTCGATAATCTCCAGGGTATATGTTCAGATAAATCTCCGCAAGTACCCTGGCCGAGCCGTAGATGCATCCAGGGTACAGTGGAGATTTATCGTAATGTATACCCTGGAGATTATCGAGGATGCTGTAAGATAATGCTGTTGACCGGTTTTATATTTGTTGCCCTCTCCAATATTTGCTTGAGATAATGCTATTGTGCTTCCCATCATACACCTGAGATAATGCTGTTGTCCTTCCCATCATACACCTGAGATAATGCTGTTGTCCTTCCCATCATACACCTGAGAAAATGCTGTTGTCCTTCCCATCATACACCGGAGATAATGCTGTTGTCCTTCCCATCATACACCGGAGATAATGCTGTTGTCCTTCCCATCATACACCGGAGATAATGCTGTTCTCCTTCCCATCATACACCGGAGATAATGCTGTTGTCCTTCCCATCATACACCGGAGAAAATGCTGTTGTCCTTCCCATCATACACCGGAGATAATGCTGTTGTCCTTCCCATCATACACCGGAGATAATGCTGTTGTCCTTCCCATCATACACCGGAGATAATGCTGTTGTCCTTCCCATCATACACCTGAGATAATGCTGTTGTCCTTCCCATCATACACCTGAGATAATGCTGTTGTCCTTCCCATCATACACCTGAGATAATGCTGTTGTCCTTCCCATCATACACCGGAGATAATGCTGTTGTCCTTCCCATCATACACCGGAGATAATGCTGTTGTCCTTCCCATCATACACCGGAGATAATGCTGTTGTCCTTCCCATCATACACCTGAGATAATGCTGTTGTCCTTCCAATCACACACCTGAGATAATGCTGTTGTCCTTCCCATCATACACCGGAGATAATGCTGTTGTCCTTCCCATCATACACCTGAGATAATGCTGTTGTCCTTCCCATCACACACCTGAGATAATGCTGTTGTCCTTCCCATCATACACCGGAGATAATGCTGTTGTCCAAATGAATGAATCATTTATTTCACTCACCTCAACATGGCACCCCTATTCTATGTTGTAGCTGTGGTGGTATTACTGCATGGGGAGGAAGCTGAGGCAGTGGTCAGTGCCCTGGACAATTGTGAGCTCCTGGGGTCAGAGGTATCAGTGTGTCTCTGCCCCAGCGACAGACTGCTGGGGGTAGCACATCTCCCACAGGATTACACTGATCAACAGTTCACACAGCTAGTCTCATCTCATGGGAAAATACTCAAGGCTTTCTTGATGAGAAATCAACAATCAGGTCAGTCATTATTTAATTTTTTTTATTCAATTTAGGAAAATTTGAACATCCTCATGGGATCATTTTTTTATATGTAAAAACAGTTATTAAGGCAGTCATTGAGGCAAAGGGATTGGAGAAGTTGAAACATGTGCATCTCATTTACTTCCAATCTTTCTGCCTTGCACTGTCGTGGGAATGTCTATTCTGTGCTTAGTACAATGGATGTTATGAAGATTGTTGTTAGAAATTAAAAGTCAAATTTAAAGGTCTTAGTAAGCAGTTAGCAGGAATGGCACCAGATGCTTTCAGGGGAAAACTCTGACTTACATGTATTCTGTAAGTTGTGGCAGAATCACTTGGGGTATATATGGACACCTTTCACCCCTCCTCCCCCCTCCCAATCAAGTTTCTTTCTCTCATTCTTAAATCTAAAATTGAATATGAATTTTAAATATATACAAGTATTCCTCAAACAGGGATATACACATGCTAAGGCATTTGATTTTTTTTTTCAAAAGAATTTCACATTTAGAAAAATATTAATCAACACAATAGGGTTATATAATTAAAATACTGTGAAGAAGTATTTAACTGCTCTCTCGAAGTATTTTTTAATATTCATAATTTTTCCTTACCCTGACTCAAGCTATATTGCTTATCTCCCTTCTTCTTCGAACGGTTAAGTGGAAGCTTGAATCCCTTTCAGTTCCCTGAAGCAAACATACAATCACTCGCCCTAGAGTTGCCTCCCTTGCCTTTCCCCGCTAAAAGCACCCACGTGACCGCAAGGCATGCAGTCCTCACTCTCTCCTTAATCAGGGGCAGTGGGGTAGCCTAGTGGGTAAAGCGTTGGCTCGTCACGCCGAAGACCCGGGTTCGATTCCCCACTTGGGTACAATGTGTGAAGCCCATTTCTGGTGTCCCCCGCCGTGATGTTGCTGGAATATTGCTAAAAGCGGCGTAAAACCAAACTCACTCACTCACTCTCCTTAATCGTCCAAGTGGACGGTTGGGCGGTTTCTTCAGGGTCCCTTTGCAGCTTATATTACTGTTTCCTTTGGATATTTAACTCAAATTTTGCCGTGAATGTGTTCTTTAGGATGTTATTCACCATATTTATGGAATTTATTGTATAAATTTTGACTAAATTGTATAAATTTTTGAATATTTTCACTCCATTCCACGTGACTGTTTGTTTACATCAAGACTGTGTATGCAATGTTACTATCACTTACTGCTCAATTTTTGTCTGGACTCGTGTTTGAGATCGTCAGGGTCGGTGAACTCCCCAGGCAGCAGTCAGCTGGCATCGACGAAGTCTCACCTTGGTCGGCAGCCATCAGATAACCCATTAGCGTTTGCAAACACTACCTCGTCCGTCCAGACCATGAACAACATGTTCCGGCAGATGTCTCAACATGGCCAGCTGCGGTCATGTTTCTCTGGTATCCAGAGGTCTAAGGAGAAGAAGTATCCCTCACCTTGCGGCGGCAAAACAGGCTCCTTTCGTCTCTCCTACAATGCTCGAAGTTACCCCAGTCGTGGTCGTTCCTCCGGCAGCAAGTTCCTGTCACTGAAGTCCAGGTTCGGAACGACTGGTCCGTACCACCTCCAGCCGTTCCTGTACAACCGTCAACCGTGGGTGGTTGCTAGGGCGCTACTGGGAGAATTGGAGAATACTACAACACTCAACACTCCACTAGACATAAGAGCGTGGCAGCGACTCCTAGTTCTACTTACAATGGCGCAGGCTCTCACAGGATGGTTGCATCTACAACCGTTACAGTGCTAAACTCATCTAGACAATGTCTACAGATTCGCCATCCAGCAGCATCTGTAGTCGCACCTACTCTGGTGGACGGAGAAGTTGAATTTCTGCGGCAGAACCTGTTTACGAGGGCCTACAATGTACATCTCTTCGTGGATGCCTCACTCCAGGGCTGGGGAGCACACTTCAACGACGAGGTCGCCTCAGGAACTTGGTAGCATGTGGAGAAGGCTCTACACATCAACCAGCTGGAATTCAAGGTGGTGATAGAGGCTGTTCAACATTGGGCACTGCAACTAAGGAATCAAGTCCTTATGATCCACACGGACAACTCAACAGTAGCCTTCTACATCAACCTACAAGGCTCCACGAGATCAGCGCCGCTGCTTCAACAGACGCTCCAGCTGTTCGACATAGCAGACGACATCAACCTGCGGATGAAGGCCTGCCACATCCCAGGAGCAAAGAATATTGCTGTGTGCGGCGTAAAACTAAACTCACTCACTCCTAGCAGCCGGCTTATCCAGACCGGTCTGTACATCACCCACAGAATGGATGCTGCATCCAGAAGTGTTCCAGTTGTTAACAGTAGATCACGGTCATCCCCTCATCGATCTGTTTGCAACACGATTCAACCATCACGAATCTACTGATCCACCCTCACACCAAGCAACAGCATGCAACCCATGCAACCCAGCAGGATTCCAGCTACACGCATGGAACATATTACGCACTGCTTGAAGAAAAGAGGGTACTCTACCAGAACAACTAAGGCAGTGACACTGGCTTTACGTCGATCTACTCGGAACCTGTATGGCGACAAGTGGAGGAGCTTTGACCAGTTTGCTGCTCGCAAGGGGTTCTCGGCCATGAAAGCTGACTACTGGTGTCATCTGTGGGCTACTAGACACCTGAAAGGTTCTAAGCTTTCTACCTACCTAGCGGCGATGAGCTCTGTCATCACCATGGATACAGGGGTTAAGCTGACCAAGCTACCTGAACTTGTCTGCCTGAACTTGTTGCTGAGATCGTTCAAGTTGGAAGATTAGCAGCAGAAGTTTAGAGCTCCAGCTTGGGATCTCAACATAGTGTTGCAGCATCTTATCAGTGACGTATATGAGCCGCTGACGCAGACAACATTTGAGTTGCTAACTCAAATGATGCTGTTTCTCCTTGCCCTAGCTACTGCTGCTAGAATGTCAGAAATCCACGCCTTTGACTTCAGCTGTACAAGATTCAACAGTCCATCTAGGCCTCAGATGGGACTTCATCGATAAGAATCAGCTGCCTGGCCAACCGGATCGTCAGTTCTACGTTCTGGCACAAGCAACCATATTGGGTCCAGACGATACACAAGATTTGTCCTTATGCCTGGTCAGAGTCTTGAAAGTCTACTTGGACAGGACTGCTGTGAGGAGGAGGAAGTTCAAGCGTCTATTTGTCCTGCTATCACCCGCCACGGTTGTAGACGTCTCCCGAACTACATTTGGATCAGAGCCTATAAAGCAGCAGGGTTACAGCCACCCAAAACATCGAACCCGCATGAAGTTAGAGCACAGGCCTCGACACTCGCCCTACACGGGAACTGCTCTTTATCATCCATCATGGAAGGCTGCTTTTGGAAGTCGGACACTGTATTCGCCAACCACTATCTACGGGACTTCGCTACTGAAGACATATCCGGTATACACCAGTTCGGTCCACAAGTAGTAGCGCAGCAACTCACGATTCCAGCCAGACGATGAGAATACTCACCCTTGTCACGCAGATGCCAGGCAACTGATCCATTGCCATATTCCCCTGTCTTACAAGATAAGTCAGTGCATGCTTGATTTAGGCTCAGTTTCGGCAATAGTCCTTACCATAACATATTGAGTTGCGATACCAGTTTCGGTAATAGTCCTTACCTTAACATATGAGTTGTTCAAGATATTTAGACATGGAGACATTCTAGTTTATCTTAACTCCACGAAATCTATATGATTTACTGGTGATCATCAGGAAAATTTTGACGGTTCCAGACGCAAGAAGAATTCCCAGGGGGTATATGTGCGAATGCTGATGTGATTATTCAGTCACAGAGAATCCCGGCTGACCCACCACCTGTTTCCGTCGGATTCAATAAGCAATATAAGCATGAGTCAGGATAAGGAAAAATATGTAATTTTTCAGATAAAATTGATATTTTATACTTATCCTGACTCATGATTTGAAGCCCTCCCAACCGTCACCTCTCGCCACTACGGGCTTCCCTGCAAACCTTAGTGTAGGCAGATATACGGGGAGAGTGAGGACTGCATGTCTTGCGGTCACGTGGGTGCTTTGGCGGGAAAGGCAAGGGAGGCAACTCCAGGGTGAGTGATTGTATGTTCGCTTCAGGGAACTGAAAGGGATTCAAGTTTCCATTTAACAGTTCGAAAGAGAAGGGAGATTACATTTTCCATGTCATGCATTCCTTGCAACACTTATATAGCCATATCACATTTTCTTAAATTAAGAAAACGTAAACTTCTGGGAAATATTTTTGGGATTTTACCTCCAAAAATCCCCTGAACAAATGCCTATTAAACATTGTCTCACTGACCATGTTTACAACCATTGGCAGATCATACATTTAAGAGCTACATTATAAGGAAATATTATTTATATTTTACTTTCTAATTTTCATAATTATTATGTCACTAAATCAAGACCAAAATTTATGAATGTATATATTCATTTTTCAATATTTTCATAAAACATGGGTAGGTATTTCTGTTGTTGCAGTATCACATTCTGTTTTCATGAAACCTCTGCAAAGTACGATTGAGGGAGGTATGTGTTGTGTGTCATGATGGGTTCCACAGCAAACCCCAAACTAAAACATATTGGATAAATTTCTTTGAAGTACATTACCTAGTAAATCATAGTCATTATTTGTATGTAATGGCTGTCCTCACACTGTTAGACCCTTAAGATTTCAAACAGAGGCTCCTCTTCACTTTCAGCTATCAAACAATCCAAATGCAGGTAGTTGTGTTCCAACCGAAACGCACTGCATGCCTGCTCATGACAGGGAATGCATTACTAAATGTACATACTTATGAACCTTATGAACCTGTACATGTAGCTACTCTTTTGCAAGTTCATCAAAATGGCCATGTCAGCAAGTTACTAGTGGTGTTCCGATTAATTGAAATAATCGAAGATTTGTCGCAGTGACCAAACGACCAAGCAATCGATCACATTTTCTCATGATTGAACATAAACG